ATAAGGAATAAAACCTAATTTCCAACATTCATTTAATGAGATAATCTAATAGACATACATAACAGTAATATTTAAAAAAATGCTACTTACACAGTGTTTCGAGGAATAGCTACCGACTAATCTTTGGAATATGGTAACAGGCAGTTTGAAGACATTTTGGTAAGGCGATAAAGGTTACTAGCTAGGACTTTAGCAGTGTACATGGATAAAGTCAAGAGTGTGCGCAATGCCATTTTTGTGCAATTCTGGGATGTTTTTTTAAGTGAAAATAGGTTGATGTGTACATGGATACCGTGTATGTGCAATTCTTAAAAAACGCGGCAAGCAGTGGGCGATTCTGCACTTTCTCCCAGTTTCGCACCTAATATTCGTCATGATTAAGCACTTTTGTTCCATAAAAGTTCTAGCATAAGCCTAATTTGGCTAGCAGATTGTGGGAAAAAAATGTTGAGGGAAACATGCCTTTACTTCGTGAAAACAAAATGGCGTCCAAAAAATACTAGCAGGTTGCTGTAGCAGGGTTGGTCGCCAAAATTTTCGCCAAAAAATCGCCAAGTTACCATAATCCGAAGATTAACCTAGCTACCAAACGACAAGTAATAAAACTGCAATTTGCAATCGATAGAAAAATATTTAGTGTTTTTTAATATTACACACTTAAATATCTCCATAATTATAGATTACAATATTTTATACTAATTCTATAACACTATTTTTTCGATCATATGCGGAAAGTCTGAGCACCAACCTGTTCGTTTAATATGAGTGATGTACGATATAGCACTTAGAACGTTATAACCGATTCCATGTGTCCAAATATTGAACCGCCGGATCACTGAAGATTGGAGAACACCACCATGTAAGTTTAATCACCGAAAACATAAAACTCCAAAACAGAACACTATTTCACTGCATGGACGATTTTAGCACGTTGCATTGTAGAGCAGATATTCACAATCAAAATAAGCAGAAATTTAGCATTACCAGGATGATTTCTCCTCATTTCAAAATAAACTGCCATCATTTTATTCTTGTCTTATCGATCTCTTGCTGTGTTGAATCTCTCCAGTATTTAATTCCGACGGTGAATTACAAAACCGTGAAGAAAATATTTCTGGAAATAAGATGGAGTCCGAAATTATTGAGCCGTTAACTAACTTGGTTCGAATTGAGCCGTTAACTAACTTGGCAGCTAGCCATACGCGCAAGCCTCGAGTTCAGATGTTCGTTTAAGTAATCATTCAGTAAGGAATGTCAATCACTCGAACAGACTACATTATACCTTTCGACGGTTCTGATAATTTAATAGATTTAAATGGAATAGAATTACGAACAATGTTCGTATAATGATTATATTTACAAAAAAATATTTATCAGCCTCGCTAAAACATTTGTAATGTCAATGTCGCCAAATCCCGAGTGTACCGTATACTAGGATTAAACTAAGCATTTTTGAATGCGTAAAAACATAACAAACAGTTCATCAGAATTTTTATAGGTAATGAATTTCGTATTTTTTGTTCACAGTTTCTCTAATTTTGATGTGAACATTTTATATCTTCACGAATATTGTACTTTTTGCTCTGTATGCGGTAAAATGTTTCATATTATGTCAACATATTAATTCAAATAAATTTGTCCTTACTCCAAAAATAATAAAATAAAGTCATATTTCAGTAGCGAAATAATTGCTAACATGTGATTTGCATTGATTTCGGAAATATGATTTTTTTAAATATATAAAATGCATAACTTAATAGCTTACTTTATAGATTAGTTTCATTTTTAAAAATTTTGCTATAATATTTATAAAAAATATTTTAAGTATTAATTATTTTGACAAATTTTAAACAATAATTTAGCACGTATTTTAGTACTAATTAAATTTAATAAACCAAAAGTATTTATTATTAAATTTATATTTCATTAATTGAATCTCTTAGATTAATATATTTAGATGAAATAAATTAAATTGCAAAATAAATCTTATGCGGACTTCAGATTCTTGAAAGGACAGATTTAGTCTCTTTTCATTCTAAAAGTAAAGCTGATAAACTATGAAAAAAATGCTAAAAGGACCACGTCTAAGAGCGGTCATATCATGACGTTTCAGCGACGTCGACAAATTGCCAAGATACAACGGCAAATATTTTGCGTCTTCGCAACGTTATAAAGACGTCGTAAAAGTCACCACGACCACTTTGCAACCTCTCGTACCTGTTTGCAACGTCGTGTGCTACTTGGGTAACATTGAGTAAATGGCTAAATGGCTATCTCGTTAATTTGGCGAGATATCGCAAGCTGGCAATGGTAATAGTGACTAATTCTTGTCGCCAAATTTGGCGAGAAATTTCCAGTAGTCGACAAGCTTGGATATCATTTTGCGACATTTTAGCCCGGTCCCTGTAGCACCGTATTAGGCATAGTAATTGAATTACTGTAATTGATGTTCTGTGTAGCTGTAACTGTAATCGGCACTCATATGCCTTCCAGTAATTTCGAGAAACAGAAAGTACTAGAAATATCCGGGCGAACCAAGTAAAACACTTTGCATTGCATTGTGTTTAACGTTCTTAGTAGTTTGAAGTATACCAACTGAAGATATACCTCTGTGATACTGTGAACACCTGTACGATTATTTCTGTGGAAAGTTGCAGAACAATGAAGAGTTTCTTTTGATAAAATAAATTCTATCAACCTATCATCGAACCTGTGTGCATTCAATCTATTGCGAACCCGTACGCACGCAACAATTTTTGTGTAAGGAGTGGGCTTGAATGTCGGTGACATGAGTATTAGTGAGCAACTAACATGGCTAGTGACTTTGCTGCATTCCAAGAAAAAATAGAAGGGACTGTCCATCAAAGAACAGATGAAAGCTAGCCAAGTTTTCGTTAAAGAGGAGATGAATGGTGTTCAAGAAAAGATTGAAGCTGGTCGAAAAGAAAGAAAAAAGAAGAGATAAAAGAAATAAAGAAGAAATAAGCTTTTCAAGAATCTGATAAAGAAGAGATGAAAAAGTAGTTCAAGAAAAAAACTGTTAAAAAAGATTGAAGTAGGTCAAAAGGAAATACCAATACTTCAGTTTTTAAAAACGAATACGCATACGATATGCTAAAAAATTTTATGTAATATTTGGAAGACTTTATATATCAATCTTTCTCAATGCTGCCAAGAAATGAAAGACATAATTACACACAATAATTAAAAATAACTATAAATAAGCATATATGAAACCTACGTTGAATGCAAGTATAAAAATTTGTTTTGAGTGACAAATAAGTAGAATATATTTCAATATTTTATTTACCAAATAGTTCCTGCCCATGTTTCCAGTAAGCTTTAAAATAGTAAATAAATAAAAAAAAGTATTCTTTAATACATTATAGTCTTTCATAACGTTAATCTCAATTTAGCCTCTCAGGATAAATGCAAAGCTATTCTCATGATTCTAGATAAAATAAGTGTTCAGAAAGAAACTTGAGTTACATGATGATGCAAACGAACATTTGTCTCTCTTTCCAAAATGTTCAAGAAATGCATTTTTTTATTTTAATCAACGATTTAGGGAATGTTTTTCTTCAATGTAAGATTCAAATTTAAAAGAAAGAAATTAAAAGAAAAAATCATCGTGCCATCTTGTATGGAAGTTCCCAAACCTAATTTCAAGTAAACATCTCTGACAGACTTCAAAGAGCTGTTAATTTTCCTCTTACCTTATATTTCTCCATGACATTATTGACAACTTTCACAACAATGTATGTGTGTGAAAATGCTTTTCATCTATGATGTATCTGTAATAGATTACAATTGTAGTCGTTATCATTGATGTCAAGATTTCAACAAGGCAATTAAATATCAAAAATGTGTACCAAACCATGTAAATATATCCCTCGCTACCCCTCCCCTTTTTTTGAAAACTTGCGAAACTCACGGCTTTAGAATTAAAATAAAAATTTCTATTTAGAAAAATAAATTGTGATCTGATTTACCTTTTCCCTATTTTTTGAATGTATTCCTAAAGAAAATATTTGAAACTTTTCTCAGGCTAGTTAAAAATTTTTTTAGAAACAGTTTTGCCTTCTTCTCAGTAGTACTATAATTGTTTCCGATAGGTTAAAACTGCCTCAGTACTTTTCCACATAATATTTTAAAATCTGTTTTCCGTGTGAAGAAATTTCGTCACCTGCATACTACACTTCTTTCTTCGATCATATTCCCTCCTCTTGAAAATATTTGCTGTTCTATAGCTTTCTTTATTATAAGAATGTAGCATGCATCTTATGGTTAAAACATATGCAATTTACATTAATCTGATATTTATATGTATCTATGTAAAGCCTTCTGTCAACATGATGTTATTACTTAAGTTTTAGAACAGTCTGAAGTTAAGCTGTTGCTTAACAAGTAAATCATAGGTTCGACAATCTGAGCCGGCACTTTTTAAAAACACAAACATTTATTTTCACGCCATTTCTAATTCTACAAAATCTTAAATGCAACTAACTATCAAACAGAAAAGCAGACGTAGAACGTAATGATGCATCTGGGCACGTGATCCTCGTGACAGACGAATTCTTTAGGGTTGCCACAGAAAGGCAGTGTGTCGCCACATAAGCTCTGATTTTCAACAGCGTAGAAGTTTCAGCGATCTCAAACTCTAAGTTGTTCAAGGGTTAACTGCATAATGATTTAAACTGCAATGAATAAGAATTGACTAGCAATTAATTTATTAATAACATATAAAATAGAAATTTTATATAAAACACGTAATAATTTTTGAGGATAAAATTATGATTTTTCTTTGTGGATCTGTGTGTCAGCAAGAGCAAATATTATACATTGACCATGACTTTAAATAGCTCGTTTCATTAAATGCAAACAGTGCATGCATTTAATATCTGTGTCTTATTCCACAAATGTAAGCAAAACGCAAGCTGTTTCAGTTTCAACACTCATTTTTCTTCCTAAATAATTTTTTCACGCTTATGCATTTACAGAACTGGTGTGACACTTTTTCACAGCAGGAAACAAACAAGCTACATGGAGTCATTTCTGCAACAACAGATAACTTACCACCAATAAGGAAAAAAACAGTTTTGTCGAAAGAAGGAAGTAACGCGGTAAGTTTTATGTTAAATAATCTTTATCAATATACACAACTTTGTTAAGGAAAATATGAACACATATTTTCTACTTTTATAGGAAAAACTAACATTGGGACAAAATTCATCAACATTAAAGAGATGCAAACCTCGTAGTTTTAAAGATTGGGACAAGTAATAACTTATACCTGTCTGATCATTCTTACAAAATAATCATTATTTTATATACCATACTTGTTACTTTTTTAATACAGATTTAACGTTGAAGAAGAATTAAAGAAATTAGATGAAGAAAAGCCTGAAAGCTTACATGAAAAAGAAGAAGCAAGAAAGCATTTGGATTTAGATACAAAAATTCCTATTTCTGGTAATAATTCAGATAACAAAAATTATTTTTATATATTGGTAAAAGTTATGTTTCTGAAAAATAACATAAGATAATGAATATACCCATAGGTAATCAACTCTTTAATTCTTTATTAGTACTAAGCAACTATATTAATCTGTGGCTTAGCTCGATTTCTGCTGGGCGGGGCAGATATCAAATTTGCCGCCCTCCTACAAAATACGAGTATAATACTATTTTAAAGATAAGATGTTCCACAATGAAGAAAATATTAAGTTGCAAAGAGACTTTTTCTCCAAAATTAAAGATTTTCACATACTGGCGCGCAAAATTTAATTTAATAATTTGAATCCCAGTATTACTAAATTATTACATAAGAAAGTATTATTACTTTAAGAAAATACTTAAAAGTTACTCGAAAACTATAATAAATATTATTCTAAAACTACTGTCTGTTGCATATGATAAATATTTTTTTCATTGATGACAATAATTTTTTGCATCAAATTTCAAAATAAAAAAGGTATGTATTTTAATATAAATAAAATTAGGGGTAATTTTCTGTTATCGGGACCGGATACAGAAATGTGTATATGTATGTATGCACGTGTGTATGTGCTTATATGTGAATGTGTATACACGCATACATATACAGGTATTTATAATACATGCAATGAGTACAAAAATATGTAATAATTTTTTTAATCTTTCATTGAAAGGAAATAATAAATAAAATAATTATAAATTATCAGTCATTCGAAATAAAAATGGAAGTTTAGGACTAAGTACGTCTTTCTTAATCTAAATTTTTTTTCCTCCTTTTCCTCATAGCAAAATTTTTAATAGCACTATCAATATTGATTGAATCACTTATTTCTTGCTCAATAGTTAAGAGAAGTTTCTCTCCCATCTGGCATTGCTTATGGCAGTAACGGAATGTTGCACGAGCAGTTGCTTGTTCTGTTCGGCGGCGGATCACCTGGGCATTGAAGCCTTTCACAGGAACGCTGTGGAGAGGCCGAGGGTTTGGCTACCGCTCCGACTCCAAAGCAGACGTGACGGATTCGTTCTTGCAAGTGCAGAGATGCGTTCCTCTCGTGTTCTGCCTTTTACAAACGGCATGCAGCCCGCCGTTCTTTCACAACGTTAGATCTGTGGGCAGGGATGAGATAAGTTCTTTCTCAAACTAAAATGTTATTTTCCTACTTTTTCTCATAGCAACATCTTTCTTAGCATTATCAGAATTGATTGCATCATTGATTTGTTGATCAATAGCCAAAATAACCAGATCAGTTAATCTTAGTGTATTCATTACTAATCTCAAGTAATTTTTGCAGTTTAGAAAAGCTTCTCTTAGAGCTGACATTACTTATTGCAGTTGTGAACAATGTCCAAAACCATACTAGAATCCTTCTGCTTAAACTACGTAATAAATTTTAATAAATCAAGTGGGCTTGAATTCATTAATTCATTTTTATCGCCCGTGGCAGCAACAGATGCCCTTAGCCGCAAGCGTCCAAGCTTATACCTGCTCTAAATGGAAGTCGCGGTCGTCAGTGTGCAGTAGTTTGGCTAGCTTAAGAAAGGCAGATTTATTCGCCAAATTTCGTAGCTGCTGAAACCTCTTATGAATTTCTACAGTTACCTCATTTATTGAAGAAAACTAAGTATTTTTCAACTCGTTTGAGTAGGGCTCACCAGCGGCCAAGCGGTAAAGTCGCTGAAAGCTGGCAGTTCGGTCTGGGACTGTATAGTCGTATCCTAACGGAAGGGTTGGCCACATGTGGTTTTTTGTGGTTTCCCCCATGCGTTACGTATATATGAGCCAGTTTCCTTCAGAAAGTTCTTCACGAAAACTTCTCTTCGCTTAGGTAAATAGTCCTTGTGCGCTTTGTTAATCAAATAAACCAACCCGTTTTATCATTTTTAACATCATTGACTTCATGCAATACAGGTTTCCACAGGCTCAAAAACATAGAAAAGGAAATGATTGCATTGTGACTAGCAAATTTCCCGTGTCTGTCTGTGTGTTTAAGCCGTCATTTGTCTCTGTCAGTTTTTCTTAGAGTTGTCTAAACAACCTTATAATGGTTCCATGTTATATCTACTGCTTCAGCTCTTGTGCTCCGGAGTGTATCCTGAATTCTTTTTCCTGTATCCTGGACTGTCTTCTCTGTAACAGCAATTAGAACTTCCCAATCATGGATGGACGCTGAAAAGAATGCATTATAACATTCTAACGTACCAAAGAAAATTACGGAATTCGTTTTAACCGAAGCAGCATGTAAACGAATCAAGTTTAACGAATTGTTAGATCAAGGTACAAATTCGGCATTGAGATTTATGTTTTTGAGTCTTTGCTGCGTTCTTGTATGCTTTCCAGCAGCATTATGATAGACTTAATCTTTATGGTCCACTATATCACGACAATCAGCATTAAGAGTCCAGTTGTTTCCATATGGCTTTTTTATTAATTTGAATCTGGTTTGTTGGAATTAACCAACTGGAATATTTCTAAAAGAGTCATCCTCAACACAATTTACTCACAACTGCTTAGAATTAAAAGAATCTGCAATACAGTAAAACACTTTCAAGAAGAAGTACCATACTTCGTGACAATTTTGAAAAATAACCTCATTCCTCAAAAAATAATTAAAAATACTTAAAAATTAAAAAAAAGCTGGCATTAGCCTTACCAATTTTTAGATTTTTTGAGTTAGATAATGACATTTTATACTTAAAGCCCAATGGGACGGTATAAAGTGGATGGCTGATTCTGAAGATCTAATGTATAAATGTACAGATAATTCTTGTCACTACGTCTTTTTTTCTCTTAAAATTTGACACAATACTTTTAATACTATTTTTAAATAGTTTTTAAAAATACTTTGATGGCCAATTCTATTCTGTTATTAACTTACGGGCGATTTTAGTTTCGAGCAGCTTGAAAGCCCTCTAGCTTGAAGAATTACGACTTTAACTAACAAATTACTATTTTTCATTCTTTCTCTTACTTTAGAGGCCATTTTAGGTATTGTTTTTGCTGAATTAGCCATTTTCACTTTTACCCAGTCCATTTTCATCAAACTACTATGTCAAGACGCCATTTTGAACTTTTCCCACATTTTTCAACGCCTTTCACCCCCCTTTGCTATGAGTCAGGTAGCCGCCAACGGATAGTCACTTGGCATTGGCTATTGCCTAGTGACAATGTTTTTCCCTCTTTCTACGTCATCCGACAAGTTGGAGGGTAATGGAAGCGCTACGGGGTTTGCAAGCCCTTTTCGAGTTTCCTCGTCACCAAAGAACACACAGCTTTGTTCCAGGTCTGATTTTTATAATTTTTTCTCTAAAAGTTTTTCTAGGTCTTGGCAAGACCAAGATTGCTTGCCGTCTTATTTATTATTTTTTTCTTTTTGATTTAAATATAATTTACGGTTCCTTTGCGAAGTTTTAATTCATTAAGCTCGCAGGTCCAACCCATAAGTTCTTGTATATTTTGACTAATAGTATACCGCTATTTATTTATTTATTTTCTCTGTACATCGGAATTTCCTTTCCATTTTTTACACCTTAATGTGTCAATATATGCGGACGCGTCGGGAAATTGGAACAGAGAATTAAGACTAAAGTTTTTGACATAGTTTATTTAATTCATTAAAAATTTGTCGCGCAACGTTTCAATTGTCTGTTTCGGCGAAACGCGCAATGGAGTTAGCTTGGTTCGAAATTCATTTTAAAAATTTCCCTTGAAAAGCCAAAATGAACTTCGAATTGGGCTAATTAACCATTTACCACTTCTTAATTTTAATATATTTTTTATATTTTACCTTGATCAATTGATTAGTATTTTACTGTGTTTTATAATTTACTTTTTTCGCTTAGCATATAGCCTACTATCTTTATTTTACCTCGTTCAATTGATTTGTTTTTTCACTGTGTTAAAAATTACCTAATTTGTTTAGCATATGGCTTTTTGATTAATTTAACTTGTAAATATTCAAATATTTTTTCTCCTCTTTCACACATATCATAGCAACTAAATATGCTTATGTCGGAGTTTTCTCGGAGTCACAGTTTTTGGTAACTTTTTGGCATGCTTAATAAAATTTATCTTCTAATTTCCTTAATTTTGCAGCACAATGCGCAAAATTTTGACCGAAATTGGTCTTTTTTCGTTTGTTCTTACAAGCTTACTTATAATAATATATATATATACAATGTAAGAGAGGCAAACTAACTAAACTAAAAAGGACCTGTAAGAATTTTGCGCATTGAGCTGCAAAATTTGAAATAAGATTAAAAAGTAAATTCTTCTAGCTATTGCCTATGAGCTAAAGTGATACTTCGGTTCTTTTGCAAAGTGGTATAAACACAAAGGAAAGATCCAATTGTAATTCAAAATGTAAAAACACAATATGTATGAAATACTAATTAAGAAAATTAGAAAAAGGTGAAAGCTTAACTTAATTCAAACTTAAAAGTTAATATGCATGTAAAATAAAACTATCTCAAAACACATTAGAAAAATACTACACAAAATCATTTTTAAAAACAATAACTATAACTAAGCAGCGGTAAATGGAAAATTAGCCTATTTCGAATATCACCATGGACTTTTCAAGGAAAATGCATGGTGAGCTTCGAACTCCAGAACGCGTTTCGTCAAACAGGATATTGAGACTGATTGCCAATAATTTTTTTATTTATTAAAAAGATCCAAATATGAATTGAAACCAAGTCTCAATTTCCCCGTCTCATTTCCCGACGCGTCCGCCGTTAACAAGTATATGAGAAATACTTAATTTATGCCGGAAAAACTATACAAGAAGCCTGGTAAGGCAAATTTACAGCATTAAAATAAATAGCGAATTGCTATTAGTCAACATATTCACAAACTTTATGGGTGAACCTTCTTAGTCTGAAGAGTTATAACTTTAAAAAGGTAGTAACAGCAATTATTTTTTAGAGATAATAAAAGATTCATATTGGGTCAGTTTATGATTAAAATTTAGAAGAACGAAAAGATGAAATGTAAAAACACACCTGAATTCAAGACTTCTTTCTGCGAGAAGCCGTTTCCAAAAAATGGCAGAAAGAGGGAGTTGTAGATAGCAACAGAAAAGAATGAAAAAGATAAGAATTAAATTCACCTATTAGGTGAGACTACGTAAAGGAGGAAAAACAAACGTCATGAAGCAATGTCCAATGAAACGCAACTAACTGGGGGGAGGGTGTAGATGGTAGTTTTTTTTTTTTTTTTTTTTTTCAACATTGCGTCTGTCCTGTGCGATGTCAATTCAAGAATGGTTAGAAAAGGTGAATGTAAAATGGCTAAGTCTTACACTTGATAAAATTGGCCAGAAAAGCAGTTGAAATCGGAAAAATACAGTATTTTGTTAGTTAAAGTCGTAATTCTTCAAGCTAGAGGGCTTTCAAGCCTTTTTTAAAACGGAAAGAGAGCATAAAATTTAATAAAAAGGATAGATTTGGCCAGAAAGAGATATTATTTTATATATAATACATATTAAGAACAAGGTTTGAAGTACTGAGGCAAATGTGTAGAGAAAAATTTTAAGTAGTGAAAGTAATAAGCTACACATTTTTACATTAGATCATTTAAATTAGCCATCCATTAATCACCTTTCCTTTTGGGATTTAAGTAAAAAATTTCATTATCTAACTCAAGTAATCTAAAAAAACAGGTAAATGCCAGCTTTTTTTTAGGGAACTTTTAATAGCTGTATTTGGAATAAGATTGTCTTGCAAGATATTAACAAAGTAGTGCATTTCTTCTTGTAGGTGTACATTATTACAAATTCTTTTAATTCTTAGAAGTTGTGCATTAATTGTGTTGACTACGACCCTTTTTGAAATATTATAATTCCAGTTAGTTAATTTAAGTGTAGGGGAATTGAAATCTCTGCGCTTGTCGTAAATTTTGATTAGTTTGTAATCCAGAATATGCAAATCAAGGTATGCTAATATCATTTTGAACAGTATTAGTGGCATTAAGCTTGAGACAAGTTGTGTAAATATTTGAGTTCTCAATTTTGTTGAAGTTGTTAAAAGCATCATCTATATAACGAAAGATGTGCTGTAAATATTTCTGATCTTCAATTTTAATTGATTTCATAAACTTATATTCTTGGGTAAACAAGAATATTTCGCAAATTGCTGTCGAAAAATTTCTGCCCATTGGTAGACCTTGCACTTGTTTAATGATGTTGTTATTAAATTTAATATAATTGTTTAAAAGTACACTTTTCAAGAACAGTTGCCAGTTTTCAGTACAAATAACAGTATTGATCTGAGGAAATAAATTTGGGAGAGTAAGCAAACTATTATAAATTTCTTCAAGAGGTAAAGTAGTGTTTGGTATGTATTTGAACTTTAGTGGTGTTTTTATGAAACTTAGGTAGTGCACAGATATTTCCAAATCTGTTATTAAATTTGTTGGGACGGATTTTAAGTCTTTTATGAAGTGCTTTAAATTTATTTAAAAGTATTTTAGTGCTGGTAGAGATCTGTGTATAGGTGCAAGTACTTTGTAATTCTTGTTGATAATGTCCTAATATTTTTTTCATATGAACTAAAATTTACTAGCTTGTCGACTTTGTGATGATAAAGCTTTGGCAGAAGATTAATTTGCGATTCAAGATGTTCTTAGCGTGGACTGACTGAAATTAGGCAGTTTAAAAAGCACAATTTCAAATTCTTTTAATTAAAGCAGCTTTCCATTCGAGAAAGGTAGTGGTGGTAAGTTGAAGCGATTACTTGCTAAATAATGAATTTATAAGATCATTGTGAAATGCTTTAGGTAATTGTTTATTAAGACGAAAGTGACGAAATTTGATGCCAATTGATAATTGATGTAGTTGATATCTTGAATGATGTTAACGATCTCTGTGACAATATGTCGGTGTAAAGGATCTATGAGTTACTGTAATAGGGATACGTCAATTCCAAACGTATTAGCTAAACTTCGTGGTGTTTAATAACCATGTACCTAAAGTTTTTTTCAAATTTAAAACAAGGTGTAACCTGAAGCTGTTGGTAAGGGAGTAAAAACTGACATTTTTTAAAAAGGTGAGGAATTTTTATTTGATCATAAAAAGGGTGCTTGAATTGTACCCTACAGAAAATTTTGAGGAATTTTTTTTTTTTTATTTATAGTTGTGAAAGTCTATAATTATATCTTTGACTATTGTGTTATATGGCATTTTGATGATTAATTTCGCCTACAAGTTTCCATAATGTGACAATGTAATAAAGTATGTAAAATGGCATTTTTTGCGAAAGCTTGCTTTTGTAGGAATGAATAAAGTTTTTGAATAATTGTTTTTAAAGCCTGTGTGCTAAAGAATCTTTTGTTGTTAGAATTTCCTCCTCTTTTTCCTCTGGTAGTAGCATTACTAAAAAATATACTTTTGATGCGGCCGAATTGCAACCAAAAAGGGAGGTGCACATCTACATGTTATAGCATCCCACATACAAAATTTCCATGTTCTGAGGTTATTCGTTTTTGAGTTATGCGAGATACGTACGTACATACAGACGCCACAAAAAAATCTCTTCTGAATCCATTTGAAATCAGTTTTATAATTCGTTTGGGGAAAAAGAATCCATTATTCTGTCCTTACATAGAGATGTCACGCAAAAACATCCTTAAATTGCATTCGATAGCGGTCAGAATGGATATTTTTGTTGAAATATGGTACCTGAAAATTTTCGTGATTGCAATACTTCCGTTACTTCGTACAAGGAAGCAAAAATAATATTAAATTATCAATTATATTTGAAAATTAGGAAAACAAACTAAAATTTCATACATTTTCTATAGGTTTATCTGAAAGAGAATGTGAACATATTGCCAATTTAGAAAAAACCAAAGGAAATGAAGTAAGATTTAATGCAGTTTTCTCCCCATCCCGTTTAAAAATCAAATGTTTAATATGAAGTAGATCATCTAAAACTGAAAAAAGATATTTTCAGTTCTAAAATAATTTTCTTATAGGCTTTTAAAGCTAGAGAATATGAAGAAGCTGTGCTATACTACACACGGAGTCTTTCAGTGTTCAAAATGGCCTCGACGTTTAATAACAGAGCACAAGCATGTAAGTGGAATAAAATGAATGCTGTTAACTATTTCACAAGGGGGGGGAGTATAAGTTGTACGTTTTAGACCAAATATTTTATCAAAGATATATGTCAAGATCTCTTAAAGTAAAATGTGTCGACGTATAAAACCGATTGTTGAGTTATGCAATTTAGTAAAATGCAATAAAAATATTTTAAAAAAATTAATTATTATAACATACTTATTCAAATGTATGGTCAAAATTAGTATCATAAAGCTGTTAAAAAACAAATCATATAATTGTCAAAGAGAAATTTAAATGAACTGAATGTAATAATTTTTCTTCACGTAGTTTCTGTATGTTAAAAATTGCTGGCTTAAAATTCTGCTGATGTTCCAGTGCCATTTTTATGGCTGATTCACGATTTTATTTATTTAGTTATGTACAACTAAAGCATGTTTTGATTGTTAGAAAGCATATTTTTTGTGTTTTAGAGCATTTCACTAAAACCGTGTAATTGGAAAACATTTTAATTGTGTGTGCGGAAAAGAAGAGTTCAATAATTGAAAAATATTTAATTGACAAGTATTAATATTGTTCAAAAAGCCGAGAAATTAATGTGAATTTAACAGAACAAGTTTGACTATCACTCTATTTATTCAGATGTAATTCAGAAACATGGCTCTGCTGATAATTCTGTTGTTGTTCTTTGATAAAAGTAAAAAAAAAAGTCAACTTTATTTAATTATTTATTTGTTTTCTTTCTGTTTTTTTATTTTCATTTTGTTTAAGGACTGATTACCAGGCTTGTATTTCATGTTGTTTGATTTTTGGTTTATTTATAGGTAGTTGACCACCTTAGAGTAGATTAATATTCAAACTAAAGGGTGTTTCATAAATCATGAGACAAACTTGGAGGGGTGGTGGAGCGTACTAAAACATGCATTTTTCGTATAGGAATGTAGGATCTAAAGTAACGAGTCAAGGCAGGAACGCAAAAAAAACGACACGAGAGGAAAATGTGTTTATCAAATCAACGCAAAGTGCTTCTTTGCAGCAATACATTATTCACAATAAATGTTCAAAAAAGGAACACTTACAGTAATAGGAACTACAACTGTGATTGGCTGGCAATGTAGCGGTAGATGGCGGTAATGAGCCGGACAAACTACGATCCGATGCATCTGAGGATCATTCGCAACCTGATGTCGAGCGTGATGGGTGAGTTTACGCACAGGGAAAAAGCTGACATGCATCTCAATTATGGTGCTGCTAATGGGAACAGCAGAGCAGCGCTACGGTTGTACCAGGAACGGGGAACGGTTTCCGAACAGGCGTATGCCAAAGCCCACAATGTTCGAGAGGTTGTATCGGTCTCTGTGTGAAAACGGGTCATTTGAAGCCACCTCTGACACTAGGAGTGGAAGAAGAAGTGCACGATAACCTCGCATTGAAGAATCCATCTTGAACATTGTGCATGAATCGCCTCGGACAAGTGCAAGAGCTATTGCACGTCGTCTGCAGCTGAGACATTCCACCTTTTGGAGAGTATTGCATGAAAATGGTTTGAACCCATACCATTTGCAGAAAGTCCAAGCCTTGCAAGAGACAGTTTACACTCTTCGAGTTCATTTCTGTCATTGGTTCTTGCAGCAGTGTGCGGCGCACGCGAATTTCCCATTGGATGTGCTATTCACGGACGAGGTAACTTTCTCACAGGACGGCATCTTCAATAGCCACAACATGCACGTGTGGGCAACTCATAATCCACACAGCCCACGTCCAAAACCCGCTTTTCCGTGAATGTGTGGGCGGATATTGTTATCGACTACCTCATAGGCCCATACCTCTTACCTGCACGTACAAATGGCTTATGTTATCATATTTTTCTGCAAAAAGTGCTACAGGAATTGCTGCAGGATGTTCAGGCTGTCGTTTGTGATTGCATGTGGTTCCAGCATGATAGTGCACCAGCCCTTAACCACGTCCGGGTCCGCAATTACTTGGATGGGGCATTTTCGGGCTGATGGATTGGCCCTGGTGGACCCGTTCGATGGCCACCCCGTTCGCCAGATTTATCCAGCTTGGATTCTTTTTATGGGGCCATCTGAAGAGCATCATTTACGACACTCCCGTTGACTCACTGGAGGACCTCGTTGCACGACTAATTCTGCTCATTGGGGCAAATTGCGCTATCAGTGCGGCTGCAAGCGTGCGCGAAATGCCTGTCGTTTTTCAAAATGTTCGTCAATCCCTTCTGCGACGTTACCAAGCATGTATTACTGCTGGTGGTCGCAATTGAACATTTATTGTGAAAATATTGCTACAGACACTTGCGTTGTTTGTACTAACACATTTCCCTGGTGTTTTTTGCTTCCTGCCAACCCGTATTTGACACACTATAAAAAATTCATGTTTTAGTCGTCCACACCCTCAAGTTGTCCCATGATAGAAACCCCTGATATATATGTGTGTGGGTGTAATGATATTTTTAAATCAATTGATTAAATTAAATTCTATTAATATTGCTTAATAATGTGTTGGCGATTCTCTACCTAAATTGCATCCCTGTTCCTAAATTTTGGCGAAATCCTTTCTTTAGTATAAAAATATATTAACCTGTTGGCGCCCGCCAAATCGCCAAAACTCATAAATCTGTCATATTACATAAAGTCCTTAAGAACACTCCTGATGAGAAGATAGCGTCACCTCGTGATTTCAATTAATATCGCTGATTGGAGGAGCCTCGTGACGCACACATATGTATAAGTAGGGCTTCTGCTCAAGGTACGAGGAGAACGCTTGTGAGATGGATGCTAAAATAAACCTACCACTTTATATTCCAAAATTTGTCTCATTCCTGTTGCCCCGGCTGCACAAAAACAAATAATGTATGAGAAATTACATTTCAGAAAGCCGGTAGGATACCACCTTCAAAGGGATTATCTAAAAAAGAAGATACCCCAAGGATTATACGGATAAAATGTTACGCACTTTAGATGAATTTGCCGCTGTGCGACTTCTATGTTTCTACATTTTTCTCTAGGCGTTCTTGCTTCAAGAGAATCATCCTTCTGTTACCTGTATTCTGGTATTCTGCAGATTATTTTACGTCCAGAGAAGCACCCTTCTGCCCCCTGTGATGCGTGATCTGTGTTTCCATCGAAAGTTCGTCGTTCATCAAATGTGCTCTTACCGTTGACCTACTTTTGAGGATGGAAATCTTTCCCTACGTCTACGGCGTTCTGTGTTGCTCTCGAGAGCTTTGTGCTTGTGTGGTGATTGATCGTGTTTTGCGAAAATCTAATCAAGAGTGCACAAAAATGTGTATTTTCGTGTCGATTTCATCACTCGTATTCTCGTCACAATAAGTCAAACAGAAGCAATTAGTAAAAAGATTGGCGATGCAAATGATATTATTACTATTGAATTATAATTACTGATTTAATAATAGTGTTTTTTTTTTTGAAAATTTTAAAAAGTATTATTTTTGGTATAAATGTATTTTAAATTTGGTATTTAAAGGATGTATTTTGGTTTTAATATTGTTTTGGGAAAATTTAAAGAGTATTATTTTTTGAGTTAGTTTTATTTATGAAAGTATTAGTTTATTTATGAAAGTATTATTAGAGAATAATGGCTAATGAAAACATCTCTGATCCTGATGATTCATTAAGGGCAGCTAGCGCTGAACCTGAAACAAGTATAATTCCCTTTGACGCGCAGAATGATATGGATATAAATTCATGGCTTGAGTACTTTAACAAAACTCATTTAGATAAAGATGAAACGTGGAAGCTTAATAATGTAGCTCGATATCTAAAAGGTAATGCACTTAGCGTATATGTCAAAAACTGCCATAAAATTACTAAATATGTGGAATTAGTCCAAATTTTAAAGGAAAATTTTTTCGACCCCACTTTAACTACGTTTGGTGATTTTGCCAATTACAAGTACAATCATAAAGAGGACATAACGCAATATTTTCGCAAAAAATTAGATATTGGTAAAAAATTAAATCTAACTCATGAAATGATCTTGGAGGGTCTGACGGATGGCCTTCCTATAGAATTAAAATCCTTAATGACGATCAACGCACCCTCTGACCCCATCTCTTGGCTTACTCATGTCCATAAGCTTATTAAGATTAGCGAAAATCAACAAATCAAAAGTGCACCTCCCAGATTTGTTACTCCGATTGGGAACAGTCCCCAAGATTACAATCGATTTAATAGAAGTAGAATTTCAGCTTCAAGCTATGAAACTACTGTGAGACAAGATTCTCCTAGACCCAACAATTTCCAACGTTTTCAGAGACCAAGTAATTTTTATAATCGGTTCAGTGGTCCAAGGATTTACAAGCCATCATAATTATAATTCTCAAAATAGATTGCCATTGCCACCCAGTCCCTGTAGACTTTGCACCCGGAACGGAATCCCAAATGCTTTTCACTGGTTTCAGGTTTGTCCTTTCAGAGGGGAGAGATCTGATACACCTAATGTTACGCCCCTTGCAATAGAACCAACCCCAGAAACCCCTCACAGTAGTTGACTATTAAAGGTGTCGGGATATTTGCCCAATAAGAAACGTCTAGAGTGTGTTGTAGACAGTGGTGCCACCATATCAATAATTTCTTCCAAAACAGCTAGACAATTACGTTTAAAAGTACAAAGAGTTAGATCATTTTCAGTAACCCAAACTAAAGGAAAAATAATCTTCAACAAAATATGTTGTATACAAATGAAAATTGGACGGATTAGTAACCAAATTACCTTGTTTGTTCTTGATAATAATTTGAATTATGTAATTTTAGGACTTTATGAATGCAAATTATTTGAGTTGAGTATTGATTGTACTAATTTAAAAATTAAACAGAGAGCTATTGTACTTAATGATGACTGCCATTTTGACAGCCGACCCATATCTCTACACCTCCAACTTCAAGGTGGTACAACAAATGTTTATCCATGTGTTAATAATGATGATGATGTAAGAAAGAAATTTTCCAACCTGTAAATCTCGGACTACAAATCCA